GACAGATGCTTTTTAACAGTGTGTTTCTTCTTTCATTTTTTGAGCCCAGTTTTTGTAGGCATGCTCATAAATATGTAAGGATTGTGTTTGTAAAATTTCAAAATTTTTTGACGTCGTTGTTATTTTATTTTATTTTTTAAACACAAAAAATATAGAAAATCATAAAAAATAGAATATTCGTCAATAAATGGTGCCACTTATTGCATTAATTCCTAAAAATCATGTATTAGTTTTAGAATACAAAACATAAATAAAAAGAGAAATTTTGACACATCCAGGCCCCTGGACGCCCCACTGCGCGGGCTGGGGGTTTTTCAACAGCGTTTTTCTATTCTCATTTTTTAGGCCATTTTTTGAAAACATACTCAGAAAAATGTCAGGATTGTGTCTCTAAAATTTCAAAAGTTTTTGACGTCGTTTCTATTATATTTTATTTTTCAATGACAAAAAATAGTGAAAATCATAAAAAATACAATATTCATAAAAAATCATCCCGCTTGTTGCATAAATTCCTAAAAATCTGTATTAATTTTACAATCTAAAACATAAAAAAAATACAAATTTTTGACCCATCACGGCCCCTGGGCGCCCCACTGCGCTCGCTGGGGGGCTTTTTGTCAGCGTTTTTTTTTTTTTCATTTTTTGGAGGCATGTGGAGAAAAATGTAAGGATTGTCGTGTGCAAAATTTTAAAATTTTTTGACATCATTTTTATTTTATTTTATTTTTTAAAAAGAAAAAATAGAGAAAATCATAAAAAAATAGAATATTCATCAAAAAATGGTGCCGCTTGTTGCACTAATTCTTAAAAATTGTGTATTAATTTTAGACTGTAAAACATAGTGAAAATGTGAATTTTGAGGTCATTTTTTGTAGGCATTAGGGCTGTAAATAAAACCCGTAAATCTGAGGTACCCGCCCGGCCCGAGCCGAAATGGGCTAAAAATCTCAGTTTTAAAATTTTATTTTTCTTCTTCGGCTTTATAAGGGCCCATGCAAAAAGTTGCGGGCCGGGGTGCGGGCTTGAGTGTGTAAAATCCGCAATACCCTGATCCAGCCGCACATATGATTCTTTTAAGGTTTAATATATATATATATATATATATGTAATATACTATAAAACTTAAAACGAGAATCGTTTTGCAGACCACATAAAATCTTCCTAAAGAAAAACCCAAAAGGTCAGTTGTTCTGTTTGCTTGCTGCCTCCCTCTCGAATTTGATCTCCTATTCTCTATCTCTCAAGTCTCTCTCTCACCTTCTTGCTCAGCTGCTTTCTGGCTCTCTCCTTCTACCCAAAAGTCTACTCTCAAATCTCCTCTCATAAAATAGTCCCACTCTCATTTTTTTTTAGTACTTTGTCATCTTTGTTCTGTAAAATTTTGGGGATTCTCATACCCTTTTGGCATAATATATTGTTGTTTTTGGTGAAAAAAATGAAAACTTCCTGTTAAGACTCAGGGATGTAATGTTGGCACAATCCGAGAACACCCGGCCGAGCTGAGCTGACTCCGAGCATGCCTCTTTTCTGCAAATTTGTGGGCATGTCTAGGTGATGCGTTTAATGGTTTTCCCACCCCGATTACGTCGGCTTCGCTGAAAAAATGAGTGAACCCCGACCGAACCCGGCTGATGTACACCCCTAGTAGACATGCTCAAAAAAATGTAAGGATTGTGTCTACAAAATTTTAGAATTTTTTGACGTCGTTTTTATTTTATTTTATTTTTTGAAGATGAAAAATAGAGAATATCATAAAAAATAGAATATTTATCAAAAAATGGTGTCACTTATTGCATTAATTCCTAAAAATCGTGTATTAATTTTAGACTGCAAAGCTTAAATAAAAAAGTAAATTTTTGACCCATCCCAGACCCTGGGCGCCCCACTGCGCTAGCCGGAGGCTTTTTGTCAGCGTTTTTCTTTTTTCATTTTTTGAGGTCATCTTTTGCAGGCATGTGCAGAAAAATGTAAGGATCGTGTATGCAAAATGTCAGAAATTTTTGACGTCATTTTTATTTTATTTTATTTTTTAAAGACGAAAAATAGAGAAAATCATAAAACATAGAATATTCATCAAAAAATGGTGCTGCTTGTTGCATTAGTTTCTATAAATCGTGTATTAATTTTAGAATGCAAAACATAAATGAAAATGTAAATTTTTTACCCATCCCAGCCTCTAAGTGCCCCACTGCGCAGGCCAAAGGCTTTTTAACAGTGTATTTCTTCTTTCATTTTTTGAGGCCATTCTTTGTAGGCATGCTCATAAAAACGTAAGGATCGCATCTACAAAATTTTAGAATTTTTTAACTTCATTTTTATTTTATTTTATTTTTCTAAAATGAAAAATAGAGGAAAATCATCACAAATAGAATATTCATCAAAAAATGGTGCCGCTTGTTGCATTAATTATTAAAAATCGTTTGTTAATTTTAGAATGCAAAACATAAATAAAAATGTGAATTTTTGACTCATCCCGGTCCCTAGGCTCCCTACTGCGCGGGCCGGAAACTTTTCGATAACATTTTTCTTTTCCATTTTTTGAGGCCAATTTTTAAAGGCACACTCTTAAAAGTATAAGGATCGCGTTTGCAAACTTTCTGAATTTTTTGACGTCGTTTTTATTTTATTTTATTTTTTAAAGATGAAAAATAGAGAAAATCATAAAAATATAATATTTATCAAAAAATGGTGCCGCTTGTGGCATTAATTCCTAAAAATTATGTATTAATTTTAAAATGTAAAAAATAAATAAAAATGTGAATTTTTTACCAATCATGGCCCTTGGGCGCCCCACTGTGCTCGTTGGGGACTTTCTGTCAGCGTTTCTTTTTTCATTTTTAGGCAATTTTTTGCAGGGATGTGCAAAAAAATGTAGGGATCGTTTGTGTAAAATTTCAAAATTTTTTGACGTCGTTTTTATTTTATTTTATATTTTAAAGATGAAAAATAAAGAAAATCATAAAACATAGAATATTCATCAAAAAATGATGCCGCTGGTTGCATTAATTCCTAAAAATTGTGTATTAATTTTACAATGCAAAACGTAAATGTAAATGTGAATTTTTGACTCATCCGAGCCTCTAAGCGCCCCATAATGCGGGCCAGACGGTTTTTGACAGTGTATTTCTTCTTTCTTTTTTTAGGTCATTTTTTGTAAGGATGCTCAAAAAAATGTAAAGATAATTTCTGTACAATTTTAGAATTTATTGATGTTGTTTTTATTTTATTTTATTTTTCAAAGACGAACAATAGAGAAAATGATAAAAATAGAATATTAATAAAAAAAATGGTGCCGCTTGTTGTATTAATTCTTAAAAATTATGGATTAATTTTAGAATGCAAAGCATAAATAAAAATGTGAATTTTTGACCAATCCCGACCCCTAGACGCCCCACTGCGTTGGTCGAGGGCTTTTCGACAGCGTTTTTCTGTTTTCATTTTTTAAGGCCATTTTTTGAAGGTATGATCAGAAAAATGTAAGGATCGTGTCTCCAAAATATCAGAATTTTTGACGTTGTTTTTATTTGATTTTATTTTGCAATGACGAAAGATAGAGAAAATCATAAAAAATAGAATATTTATCAAAAAATGGTGTTGCTTGTTCTTTTTGTTATGAATATTCATTTTTATGATTTTCTGTTTTTCATCTTTGAAGAATAAAATAAAGTAAAAACAATGTCAAAAAATTCTGAAATTTTACAGACACGATCATCACATTTTTTATGAGCATACCTGTAAAAAATGACATCAAAAACTGAAAAAAGAAACACGATCTCAAAAGGACCCCGACGCGCGCAGTGGGGCGCCTAGAGGGTTCGGGAGGCGTGAAAAATTTACACTTTTATTTATATTTTACATTCTAAAATTAATACATGAGTTTTAGAAGCTGTCAGCGCGCGCAGTGTGGCACACAGAGGTCGGGAGGGGTCAAAAATTCATAATTTTATTTATGTTTTTCATTCTAAACTTAATACATGATTTTTAGGAATTAATGTAACAAGTGGCACTATTTTTTATGAATATTTTATTTTTTATGATTTTCTCTATTTTTCATCTTTGAAAAAAAAATAAAATAAAAGCGATTTAAAAAAATTCTGAAAGTTTACAGACACGATTGTTACATTTTTTCGAGCATGCCTGCCCAAAATAGACTGCAAAAATGAAAAAAGAAAAACGATGTTAAAAAGCCATGGCGCGTAGTGAGGCGCCTAGAGGCCGGGAGGGGTCAAAAATTCACAATTTTATTTATATTTTGCATTCTAAAATTAATACATGATTTTTAGGTATTAATGCAACAAGCTGCACCATTTTTGGATAAACATTCTATTTCTTTTATGATTTTCTCTATTTTTCATCTTTTAAAAATAAAATAAAATAAAAATGATGTCAAAAAATTCTGAAATTTTACATACACGATCCTTACATTTTTTTGAGCATGCCTGTAAAAAATAAAAAAAGAAAAATGATGTTTCCAAAGGCCCAAGCGCGCGCAATGGGGCGTCCAAAAGCCGTAATGGGTCAAAATTTCATATTTGTATTTATGTTTTGTGTTCTAAAATTAATATATAATTTTTAGAAATTAATGCAATAAACGACACCATTTTTTATGAATATTCTATTTTTTATGATTTTTTTTATTTTTCATCTTTAAAAAATATAATAAAATAAAATGCGATGTCAACAAAAATTCTGCAATTTACACTCATAGATATATATATATATATATATATATATATATATTCAAAAATGATCGAAAACAGTACAGACAGAGCTCAAACAGTTGGATATATGTAAGTAGACGTTTGGTTCATAAATTCAGAATTATTTTTATTTTACGTGTGTTTTTTATGAACAAAAAATACTATAAAAAATCATGAATTATGATTCAAAATCAAGAACGAATACACGAAATAAATATCTCTATTTGTAATAAAGGAGGGACTGAATCTGAATCAAAAGCTTGTTCACCCTCTATTAGCTTGAGGCTTATTTGAATTTGAACCTTAACACAAATTTCAAAAAACAAAAAAAAAAAAGTTTCTCTCAATTCACACATCCCAATAAAATCGATGTCGGACCCACAATCCGCTAGCGCCGGTGACGCCAATGACAACGCCCTCGCCAAGACCGCTGGCTTCGTGGTCTTCTCCGGCATCGTAATGAGCATTCTCAAAGCCCTAACCCCTCTCCCCAAGATCACAACAGAACCGCAACCACTCGCCGAGTCAACTCAGCAGATCAACATTCCTCCTAAAGAACCCCTCTTGAAGGTTACAAAATCAGATTTCTTTCATAAACCGGTTTTTATTTTTTTGTGTTCATTTTGGGTTTATGATTTTTTTTAAAAAAAAAAAAAATTGGGTGACCCTTCTGTTGTTACTTGTCCTTTTGTAAATTGACGATTTATATCTGTTTCCTTCGTATTTTGGGGTAAAATATTGGTTGTAATACCTTGTTTGGTTTTGTTTTGTTCGTTTTTTTTTTTTTGGCAGAAACCAAATACCTGTATAGATCAAAATGCGCCAAAGGCCCCAGAATCCTCAAATAGAACAATACAGATTGTGAAAGGCGACACTCTTTGGGGACTCTCTAGAAAATATGGGGCATTTCTCATACTTCTCATATTTATTTGTGCATTGCATAAATACATTTCTTTATTTTGTGGAGATAATTTGTGAAGCTACATATTCTAGAGAAGGAAAAAAGATACAAAGGAGCCTACTTTGATTTGCGATAGTGATTATGAACAATACCTTTTGTGAGAAAAACAAGTAACACAGAAGGGCTTAGGTTTTTTGGAGTTCTAGACGTTAATACGTTATTTCAAACACAATTATAACTCGTATTAACAAAAAAACAAACACTATTATAATATGAATATTGCATATGAGATTATGAGAAATGCAATGTGCCCTATTCTTCTAGGATAACGTAGGTTATGCTTTATTTGCCTATTTGGACCTGCCAAGAACAAGACTGCCATTTTCAATGATGCTACATTGCTGCTTAGTACTTATCAACTCAACAAAGTCATGTGATCATTTGTTGCCAAAGGAAGTTCAACAATTTACTCAACAAAGTCATGTGATCATTTGTTGCCAAAGGAAGTTCAACAATTTAAAATGGTTAATGATTTACTTACTCATTTTGTTATCTATTTGTTGTTGCCTTTTACTTTTTTCAAAGAGTGGAATAGGGGATGGGGATTCACGTAAAATTTTTGACAACTTATAAATACTGTACCTGTCCAAGCCAAAGATTGGTCTTTTCTATAAGTTGAACTTGTGACAAAACCAGAAAAAACGTATAGGGGATGGGGATTCACGTAAAATTTTTGACAACTTATAAATACTGTACTTGTCCAAGCCAAAGATTGGTCTTTTCTATAAGTTGAACTTGTGACAAAACCCGAAAAAACGTATTAGAATTCTCATTAACCATTCGCCTTTTGGATTTCAACGTAATAATGTTTTGTTTCTTGCACTCATGTCACTTATCAGGTATCCATTGATGCGATTAAAGAGGCTAACGGACTTACAGGTGATACCATCTACGCTGGCAAGAAGTTGATAATTCCATTATTGTATTTCTGTCGGTGGTCTCTTGTGAGGATTTTGGGTGTTCAGTACGTCGAAGAGAGTGGTTTCAATGTAATGTAACCGTTTCTTCATTGAAATGTTAAGTAATGGTGGAAGACATTTAAGCTGGAATTTGTTGTAGCCCTTGTAAAAACTAGTTTTTGATTACTTGAGGTGTTCCTTTTATGTACTGAAAAACGAGTTTAGATGACTTGAGCTGCTTTTCTTTATGCAACAGTTTACATGCATACATTTAACACCAATTTAACTTCCATTGCTACATCTTTTAATTGTAAGTTTCCTCATAGAGTGAACTTGTTCAAGTCTATAAAGCAAACATTATCTAAGCACTGCCAATGAGCACATCGTTGACCTAAACCATTGCTTTGAAAGTAACCTAAATCTTTGACCTCTTACAGTGAACTCAAATCAGAAACTGATAACAACCTCGAAACCTACAAACCTTTAAGATTCGTTTGTTTCGTGTGTTTAAACTCATATTTTTAATTCCGTTATAGTATTTTTCTCTTACAAAAAATTTAAATTTCAAATGTTAAAATTAAGAATTACTGGTTTAAACGCATGAATTAAATGGGCTATTAAATTAAGAGCTTATTTGGTATGAGAGAGAAATGAGAAGAGAAAGGAGTGAGGGTATTAGTGAAAGGATTTTCAGACCTGCAACTGTTTGCTAGAAGAAAAATATGAGGGCATGGATTATGTAAGTAATTTTAAAACCTTGAAAAACCTTAATTTTGATCCTTTCTTCACCTAGATTACGTGCCATTTTTTTCCTCCTATTTAGCTATCCTGTTGCAAAAAATAGAATAAGCTTCAACTTAAACTTTGAATGTATAGTTTACCCAACAATTACGAATCAAACCACTTTCAATTGCAAACTTCGAAACACATGCAGAGCCTAAATCTAAAGTTAATTTGTGCCGTGTGCGACGTCTAGGCTCAGGGCCGACAAAAGAAAGACTAGTACAAAAATAAAATTGTTTAAACATGGTTTACTTTTGCTCGAACATCGTCAAAGTAAATTATATTCCAAACAAAAAGGGAGAAAAAACAACCATTCATCCGTCTTGAAAATATCAACTCCAGTTTTGACAAAACTCAAAATTGAAAGAAAATGGTAGACAAAACATTATCTAATATCTCAAATACTGAAACTAGTTCCACAAATCATGCTAGCCTATTCAACCAGTAATGTTCTGGGACTTGTTAAGGATCACACCCTCATACTTGATCTGGAACCATTTCATGGCATCCTCCTTTGTCACACGGTGTTGGATCCCAACACGTGACTTGCATCTACGGCGGCGGCCCACGCGGTAACCAGCACGCTCCAAGACGACATAGAAGTCCATTCCGTAAATACCAGTAGAAGGATCATACCTGAATCAAAAGTATATCATTAATGAAAAAGCTGAAATAAATTTAGACTGAAATATGAAAAAACAAATCTGTATCCAATTGCTAAAAACATGGATAATGAATCACTGTTAACTTGGATGTAGGGATCAAATCTACAAAGAGATTTGAGAACAGCAGGAACTCAATGCAATTAAATCGAGTCAGAATCGCAAAATAATAATGAGATGCAGTATCTCCCCCCCCCCCCCCCCCCCTTCACACTCCCTATCTCATCTAACCATAACGTTTAAAATTGAAGGAATAATCAACTCACTTGATCCCAAGATCGATATGTTCCTGTATACCAAAACCAAAGCATCCGGTGTCACTGAAGTTCCTCCTTAGCAGCTCGTACTCCTTCACCTTCAAACCACTTTCCAAAAGCTGCATTGCCTTGTCACCCCTGACAGTGACATAGCAGGCAATCTTTTCATTACGACGGATTCCAAAGGATCTAACGGTATACCTTGCTGAGGGATCAAACAATAACACACACACACATAAGAAACAGAAAAGAACCTAAGATAACAACGTAAAGCAATAAATTATACATACAACAAATCTCCCCTTGCTCTCCAAAATTCAGCAGACTTGGAACTTTCAGCTCCAAAATAAAACAGGAATGACCTTACACTACTTTTATTCCTCAATTAAGTATGTCTAAAGGCTCACAAGAAAATCTATGTTGTACTGCTTAATAACGTGCCTTAAAATACATGTGCTTTAAGGTAATGACTACATTGAAACAGGCATTCAATCATTATAAACTAACTCTACATGGCCAAACGTTATTGTTCAACTAGATTCTAAGAGATCATTTAAATTTTTCCATGAATTAAAACGAAATCTAGACTTCCCCAAAATCACAAATCCTCAAACAAGTATATTTCTAATTTACATTGCACCAAAAAAAGGCATTTTTATTTAATTTTTTCTGCTATGTGCTCCATTTAGAAAACAAAAATTAAAAATTTAAACGAATCCCAATACCGTTCCGTAGCATCTAAACTACAATATTGTCAAACTCAGTAGAGAAAAGCAAACCAAGATCCAAGTTCCAACACTATTATCTACTTCAACCGAAACCAAGTTAACCAGAGAAAGAATAATGAATGTTACCCTTGGAGAAGACTGGTGATTGGCCGCTCAGTTGCTCCAACACCTACAATTTTAAACAATAAAAAAGAGTTAAAAACCAAGTATTATACCAATACACACACACACACATGCATGAATAAATACAATTGTGATTAAAAATGACAAAAGAAGAAGGGAAAAAAAAAACCTTAGCAGCTCTGGTGAGACGATCTCCGCTCTCACCAACAGAGATGTTGAGGACAAGCTTCTGGACCTTGATATCCCTCATGGGGTTCGCTAACTTCTTCTCCGAAGCCTGCATTCAATAAATTTTGAGAAAAAAAAAAAGTTGAGAAAAGAATGGAAATCAGAGAGATTGAAAGAAGAAGTAAATCTGAAAAAAAGAAGGAGAAGGAGAGGATACCATTAGGGTTTCTCGAGTTGGAGGCGCAGGAGAAACAGAAGAAAAGAAACTGGGATTTTTGGAAGGAGTGAGCGATGGACGGAGAAACCCTAATATGTATTCAAGGATTCCAAGCTGGCTAGGGTTTTGATGGGCCGTTTTGTTTTATGGGGTGGGTCTCAAAGGTGGGCAAAGTCGTCCTTTTTGTTTCGGAGATGTTGGGCCTATTTAATGGATCTACTTATGTAAACTTTTTATTTTGGGCCGTCTGAACTCTTTCAGCTTAGAAAAAATTCCTGAATTTACCGCGCACAATTTTTACCATTCATTCTTAATTAATATTCTTAAATTAGTATAATTATTTAACTAAAAAAAGTTATTAATTAAGAATAAACAATAGAAATTCTCATCCATGTCTTTCAAAATAAAATTCTAACTCATAAACTTTTAAAAAATATTTATCTCTTTTCCCGGTCTTTCCTCCTGGATCTCATTAGGGTGAATTAGAAGATGGAAAATTTTGAGGAATAGGACTTCCCTTCTGAAGCTTCAATTTTAAAATATAATTTTTGTAGAAAATAAGACTAATTTTTACATGATTATGCAAGATGAATAATTTTTAAGCCTAATTAACACTAAGATTAGTGTCTAATTATTATTTTTTTTTTTAGATTTTGGAATCAATCTTCATATGAGTTAGTGTGTTTTCTTTCCTGTGATTTTTAATGTTATATTTGTGCTATTGAAAGAATTATGCCCCATTTAATTACTTTTTGAATGGGAAAAAATGAAATTATAAATCCATTCAAAAACGAAATTATAAATATAAGAGTCTAAAAGGATAAATATCTTCACTTCCCTTCTTAAAATGGGTATTTTTTTCTTTTTTCTTTTACACTCACATGGAAAACTCATTATGTATTTATTTTTTATTCTTGATTAATATCTTTTTTAATTAAATAATTATATTAGTTAAAAGATTATTAATTAAGAATAAGAGATAAAAATCTAAACATATCCGCTCCATGGTAAGTTTAACCATTTTTGCCAATATTAAAGGTACAATATTGGGTTGCCCAAAACACTAAATTATGTTGGGCCGGTCTAACTCCGAGAAAAATAATAACGGCCGCCCATCATTTTTTATTAGAGAATATAAATAAATTAAATATAACAATAATACGGTCGGACCAAGTTTTTGAGCTTAAACATTATGACCAATCCCCTACTCGAATATTTAAGCGGGCCGATTTGTTTGATCTAACTTAAATTTCTAGAGAAATAGTAGAAAATAGACCAATATGAAAAGCTTAAGAAAGTATATAGGCCAATTTTTAGTTATAGAAATTTATAGGCCATAACTTGTTAAGTTATAGTTCATAACCAGATAAGTTATGGATAAACTTGTCAAGTTATGGTTCATAGCCAGACAAGTTATGTACAATTATGGATAATAACTTGTCAAATTATGGTTCATAACCAGACTAATTATGAACGAAAATAATAATTTAGCCTATTTATTAACTTATGTAAACTATTGGCCTATTAATTTTAATTCATCTCAAGTTTTTGTCTATTTCTCTCTTTCTCCCTTAATAGTTCTATTCAACATAAGTTTATTGACATTTGTGAAACCGATTTAGTGATTTTATACTTAAGTCTCGTTAAAGTTCAAGTCCAATTTAATTACTTGATTTAAGTATAAGGCTTATTACAGAGAACCCGTTGTATTTTATCAATACTACAGTCACACTCCATTGACTGAAACTAATCACAAAGCACCCTCTCCCCTAAACTCTGTTAAATTTGTTTAGAAAATGTCAAAACTACCCCTTTCAATATCAACCATTGATCAATAAAAAGCCAAATCCCAACCGTCCATTCAATCTTCTTTTATCTGAGGAAAAAAAAACGTAGATCACATTGCTCCATTACCCGACCCCCCTCCCACGACCCCTCCCACCCGTGTGACACAACCATCGCCGACGCCAGCCGCGCTGACGGCAACCAAACCCCTGCGACGCTGTTCGTCGACCTCCATAGTAAAATGATGAGTTCTCATTCATTTCCCATACGTTACATATCAGAAATTGTAAGAGCATCTTCATCTTACCCAGAAAATTGGGGCTTGGCTTTGGGGAGAATTTAGACCGGCGGAAGGGAAATTTGAGGGAAGAAGATGGAAAAAATTGCAGGAGCTCCACGACTAAGGCTAGTTTTTGTTTTTGTTTTTTTGTTTTTTTTTGCTGTTGTTCTTTTTAATGGATTTGAGCGAATAATTCTAAGCTTGAGATGAGATTGAAGAACACCTTCATCTATGTTGCAGAGGGAGAAGAAGAATCAGTGGAATTAGAACTAAAAAATTCAAGGACTTGAAGAAGAATCAGTGGAATTAGAACTAAAAAGTTCAAGGACTTGTTCTGCAAGTAGGTTTTTTTTTTTTCTTTTGCTGTTTTGACTTTTCTGTGGTTGAAAGTAACCAAAATGTAGGGCTCGTTCATTTCGCTGATTTGAGTTTAGAATTTGAGTTTTTTTACAGTAAAAAATTCTAACAAATAATCACATTTAATTTTTTTACTATAGTTAAAAATTCTCACATAAAGTCACATCTCAACTCTAATTCTAAACTCGAATCAGCAAAGTGAACGGGCCCGTAATAACTTGAAGTTTTTAGGCGGTTGTTGAAATGCTTTTATTCTGGAAAACAAAAAATCAAGACTGAAATAAACACAAGAATTGGAATAAATAAAGCCTTCGTTAAGGTTAGTTTCATAAGTGTGTAAAAAACAATTAAACGTGTTTTTCCTTGTTAAATAAGGATAAGGCCAATATTTTGAGCATTTTATATAGCTTAGAAAACGTTTTCTGATACTGCGGGGGCATTTTTGGCATTTTAAAATAAATTAATAGCCAATTTGGACGGTCAACTCACGTCAATTAACGGAAGGGTGCATATAATTTTTTTTAAAATTAATGGTATTGACGTGATTAATTTCAATGAAAGGGATGTAATTATAATATTAATAAAACACAAAAAGTTTCAGTATAATAAACCCTTAAATATATAAAGAATTGTTTTATTGAAGAATAATTGTCGATCCCTAAATGGGTTTTCAAATAATGCTTTTTATATTGACACCTCCTGTGTTATACCTAAAACAGACATCCCTTTGACAAAAAAATAATATCAACACTCCATCATTTTAATTCTGTTAAATTTAGATGTAAAATGAAAGAGAAAATAACCAACATAATCTCAACCATCCATTAGTTGTACTTTTACTTTAACCATTTATTGGGCATATTTATTATAATATGGTGATAAACTTTATCAGGCAAACATTAGAGCAAAAATAGTACAAAAAGGAACCCAGCAGCCAATGCTTTCTCAACGGCGACTCCTCTTGAGGCCTTTCTCTCCCGGTCTCGCAAGCTCACAAAGACTCGGCGAGATGTTGAATGCCTACACCAGCTACGACGGAATCAAAGGCTAACCAGCATCGCCAAGGATCGGAAACTCCGCTCCCACTTGAGAACTCGCTCCTTGTCGCCGCTATTAACACTGCCTTGGCGTTAGATCTGAGCTTCGGCAAGAGGCGGAATCGTGGGGTCGCTTCATGGCACAAGTGGTCTCACAGAGTTTGTCACGCTGGAAGGGCACTGCAGCAAGGCCTGGGTTCACGCGCGGATGAGTGTGGTGGCGCTTAGGTTACGTGGCGGTGGGGCACCTAGGTCACATAAGGTTGGTCGAAGGGTCTTGGACGGGCATGAGGCCCGAGTTTATATAAATATGGGTATTCTTTTAACATATATGCCTTATTCTTTTTTTTTTTTTTTTAAATCTTGAGGTGTTTGATAAACACAAAATAAGACAATAATAGTTAAAAGCATCCTTGTTATACCAGACAGATTATGAAATAGTGTTCTATGCCCAGAAACACCTCAATAACACCCTGTTAAAACAAAATTAAAAATGCTGCGAAGTAAAATGCAGAATAATAAATAACACCGTAATATGATTATTTAACGTGGCCAAAAATCCTTTGAGGGAAAAATTCATGGGTGCTAATCACACCAGATTTAAAGAGAATTCTACTATCACCAAACGAAGTTACAAAAGTTGGACTTATAAGAAATCTCTCGAATCTACACTAACTCCTAACTCACAATGACTCATCGTGACTCGCCTTTAGACTACTTATCTTACTCCGAGTCTTTTGCTCGCCTTCAGTCCTCCTGGCCTACTCCAGACATGATGCTTGCCTTCAATCCTCCTAACTTACTCTACGCAATCGACTCCTCCTCGGACCTACTCAGGATTCTTCACAAAAGTCCGCACATAATAAGGTTTGAGAGCAATAAAAGAAGCCCTGGATATTCACTTTGGTTTTTCTCTCACAATTAAGCATAAACGAGAACGCTGAAATTTTCTCTCGTTAGACTCTCAAGTTCTTAACCTAGGTACCAAAGAGAATTGCACAAAGTCCTCCTTAAATAATGAACCACCCGGATATGAGATAGTATATGAACATGTAGTATTAAGACACTTAAAATAGACAACTCATATCTGTTAATTTAAATTTAAATCAATTAAAGTTCAAATAAAATATGAGATTTATCTACAAAATCTTGCAGATAACATCCAAAAAACTTAATCAATAAGTAGATTAATCCTTTAATGAATATATACTCAATTACGTGCAAGGATCAAATCCACATAATCCAAATTTCACAATATTCACGAAATTCATTGTGATAAGTTTATGATTTGAAAATCAAAATTTATCACATAAAATCAACACAAATATCTGAATTAAAAAAATCTGAATATCAGCAAATGATCAACGCACAATTTCAACCAATATTCCCTGCAAAGCAAATCGGGTTAAATATGACAACAATTAATGCAAATTGAAATCAAATAAGAATGAAAACATTATGAAAATCAACAACAAATAATTAAATTGATTTTGATACAAGGTTGCCAATAAAATTTATGCCACTGTTTAATCCGTTTATCTTAATGCCTCCAGCAATGAAGGTCGTTTATGTTCTTTGGCTTCGACAATGAAAGTGTGGGTAGAATAGGGAATTGAAAAAATCTCATTTTAATAAATTATTGGCATTTAGTTAAACTATAATTATAACGATGTTGCTCAACTATTTATACAGGTGAATAAAAAAGGCATCTACCTTAATTTTCCATTTTTTCATTATTTTAAACATATATCCAAATTACAAAATTATAAAAGTCAGATTATGGATTTTTCAACCATTTTTTACTTGCCACGTAGGCTTATATTGGTGTGAGATCACTTTAAAAAAAAAAGAATAAGATCACTAAAAAAAAATAAGATAAAATATTGCAAGCCCAAAAACTAGTATTTCTTAATAAAATAAAAAGGATGGATTTTTCAACCATTTTTTACTTGCCACGTAGGCTTATATTGGTGTGAAATCACTTTAAAAAAAAAAGAATAAGATCACTAAAAAAAATAAGATAAAATATTGCAAGCCCAAAAACTAGTATTTCTTAATAAAATAAAAAGGATTTTTTTTGAAAAACAAAAGAAAAAGAAGAAAATAATCTCTCTTTTTCATTAAAGTGCAAATCATGATTGTGGGTATAAAAAACAATCAAATTCATTTTTTGTTCTAAATAAGGAGAAAAGAGACGTTCGGAAAAGGAAAAAAAAAAAAAAAAACTATCTTTTTATCATTAGAATGAAAATTATGATTTTAAGTGTGCAAAAATCAATCAAGCTCTTTTTTTATGATAAATAAGGATAAAACGTCATTTTACATGTATTCAGCTGGGAAATTTTTTTTTATGCTGAAGGGATATTTTTGGCATTTTAAGAAAATTTAATAGTCAAACTTTACATTCACAGTCAACTAACATAAGAGGCGTCTCTGTAATTTTTTTCAAAAGTCTAAAGGTCTTTATTAATTAGTTTTGGTCAAGGGGTGTCTATGATATTTTCATAAAATAAAAGGATTGTAAGTGTAATAAGCCTTTTTAAATAGCACGTATTCGCCAACCGCGTAATCCAATTTGATCAAACTAAATCATTAATTATTTTTTAATAATTAAGCGGTCTAGGTGGTTATAAGGAAATAATTTATAGATGTGGGGTGACTTCAACATGGATCTTGTTCACAATTGAACCTCCATTAGATATTCATGATTAGAGGATCGCGGTTGAGCAGTTCGAAGATGACGACGAGGACTAACGATATCTTTGTTGAGGAGGGTTTCGGTCTGGTGAGGACGAAGATTATAGGATTTGGGACATATATTGAAGAAGGAACTAAAAGAACTTAGATTTGATAGTCATTATTATTATTATTATTATTTATTTTTCTTACCGTTTGATTTTCATCTAATGGTCTTTATTTATACCCTATCGGTTTAGAGAAAGTATTGCCAATAACCATAGATTTGTCTAAATTTTTTTTGGTATAAAAAGGTTCTATACTAACTGTACAATATCACACTCTCAATTAGTAATTTAATACCCTTAAAAAATAAAATAAAATAAATTTATACTCCTCTACACACACCAAACTACTCCTTTCTTAGCCCTTTATCGACAACTAGTTGAGCCACGTACTATACACGTAGAGAATAATTTTGTACGTTTAATTTCACTTCAAAATACGTGACCTTTTTAGAAATTAATTCCATTAATTGGAGAAATAGAAAAAAATATTTAAAAAATCACATAAAAAATTAAAGTTGTATGGGAGTTTTTGACAAAAAAAATTAAGTAATGAGATATTTGAAAAAAAATTATTTTAATTGAAAGAAGGTGAGAAAAAGAAAGAATTTCAAAGAAGGATATTGAAAAAAAAAAAAATGAATTCTCAAAGAATATTAGGAGAAGACAATAAGTAAAAGAAAAGAACAAGTAAAAAATAAAACATGCAAAAAAAGAGAGATTGACACGTGACTAAAAAAAGAATCTTTGATGTATGTTTGGATTATATTTAGAATTAGATTAGACACGTTCGATACCAATCTCCCCCATTCTGTATTGACTATTCAGCCCCCTCAAAAAAAAAAACCTCCCCCATTCTCTTCTCTCCCATTCTCATCTGTCGCACCGCCGATGCCCTGCCGTGTCCACCTGGCCGCGCCGTGGCTTGCGTTGTCACCTCGCCGCGACACTGCCACCGTGCCCGCCTTGCCGCGAGTCGACGCTGCCGCGGTCACCACCTCATCGAGATTCGCGGCGCCGCTGCCGCCGTCACCACATCATCGAGATTCGCGGCGCCGCTGCCGTGCGCACGCTTAGAATCCTCTCTCTTTCATGGTATCAGATTCTCGCTCTTTTCGTCATTAGTTTTGACGATTTTTGATTTTATTTCTTATGATATGCTCTCTAGCTTTCTAGCTGCGGGTATAGAACTATTGTCTGATGGAATTTGTTTTCCTTTCTCATGCTCTCTCTCTATATATGAAAACATGACCACATTGTTTGTATAAGAGATTTGAATACGTTAATGAGAATTGGGTTTTCTGCAGGAAAAAAAATGCTTTGAGTTTTTCTTTACTGATTTGACGCATTGCAGGCCATGTTTTTTCTTCTGGGAAGCCAATGTAGCTGATGTATATAGCGGTTAAAATGTTATCAACTAGGTTGCTGAACATATGCATTACCTCCTTTTGTAAGTCACGGGATTTGGCAAAAGCTGAAGCAGTTATTGTTGATGGTATAAGATTAGACATACTTCCAGATGTGGTAACTTACAATGCTTTGGTCGATGCATACTGTCGGATTGTTGGACTGGATGCAGCTTATTCGATTCTTCAAAGAATGAGAGAAGCTGGGATAACCCCAGATGTTGTTACTTACAATTCTTTGATTGCTGGGGCTGCTAGGAGGTGCCTTTTATCACGAGTTTTGGATTTTTTCGATGAAATGCTTCGAGCAGGCATTCGTCCGGATGTATGGAGCTACAATACTCTAATGCATTGTTTCTTTAAAGTAGGAAAGCCAGATGAAGCCAATGCGATTTTTCGGGATATCATACTTAGCGATTTTCTTCCCTGTGCAACTACGTTCAACATTATGCTAAATGGTCTCTGTAAAAATGGCTACATCAACAATGCCCTTATGCTATTTAGGAATTTAGAGCATCATGGATTCGTTCCACAGTTAGTGACATGCAATATCCTTATCAATGGCCTTTGCAAGGCGCGGAGATTGAGGGCGGCTAGGAAAATTCTCCGAGAGCTTGGGGAATCCGGTATTGAACCCAATTCCATCACCTACACTACGGTTATGAAATGTTGTTTAATGTCAAAGCAATATCAACAAGGGCTTGAGATCATGTCGCTAATGAAGAACAAAGGATATGCCTTTGATGGCTTTTCATATTGCACGATTATTTCTGCTTTAGTCAAAACGGGTAGGATGGAAGAGGCAAATAGCTACATCGAAGAGATGATGACGAATGGCATTGAGCTTGATCTCGTGTCTTACAACACTTTAATTAACTGGTATTGTAAAGAAGGTGATTTGGAAACTGCTTATAAGCTGTTGCACGAAATAGAGAAAGGAGGTTTGGAATGTGATAAGTATACCCACACAATTATAATAAATGGATTGTGCAAGGCTGGTAATATTGAGTGTGCTCTACGACATTTAGAATATATGTGTACAATGGGCTTTGATTCAAACGTGGTAGCGTTCAACTGCTTGATTGATGGATTGTGTAAATCTGGTCAGATTGATCGTGCAATAAAGTTGTTTGAATCAATGGAGGTCAGGGATTCCTTTGCTTATACCTCATTAGTGTGCAATCTTTGCAAGGTGAAAAGGTATAAGTGTGCAGCCAAGCTCCTGCTATCTTGTTTAAAAGATGGCATGAAAGTACTCAGGTCTGCTCGACGGGCTGTTCTTGATGGTCTTCGTGGATCGGGGCTTATACACGAGGCAAATAAGCTTAAGTTGGAATTAAGAATGGCTCAGATATTACACTAATTCTGTCTGGCTAAGATATTACGCTGACGACTTGGACATAATTTTTTCAAAGATATGCTGGAATTTGGCCTTAACTGACCACATGGTTACATTATAAGGAATTCTGTTCCAAGTGTCAGTAGTGTTGGGCTAATATTATTGCACCAAGATAAGATACATGTGAGCAATAGTAACTACTGGTGCTGAAACTAAATTGGTGAAGTGTGCGTAATTTATTGCTCTGGCGCGTGCATTGTTGATCTGGAAGCGGGTGTCTGGTTCATAGGCTAAAAGTTAATCAAAAAATTTGACACATTTGTAGGTCAGGCTGTAAAGAAATTCATGGAACTTTAATTACAAGGTCAAATCGATGGGCGTGAGAGGAGCATCTATACCTTGCCTGATGATGGCTGATAGGCTTTATTCAAGTTCAAATGGACGAGAGATCTTGAAAATTTTGTCACACAAACATGCATATATATTATTTGTTCCCTTCTTCCTTTCCAGGAACATATTTCATTTAACCTGTGATACTGAGAAGTTCTACTGATAGAGCCTTTGTTATATTTTATCAGGAAAAGTAGTAATTGAGAATGTCTAGCGCCAGGAACTCTAATCCCATCTGACAGGGAAGATTGGCAATTGTGGCCTAGTTCTGAATTAGCATGGTTTTGACAAAGGGATTTATTTAATAAAATGATCATATACATCTTATGGTCCTATAGTAGAGGACTCAACATTTATGCGCACATTATTCTAACCGTTCTATAGAAATTTGGTATTCTTTATCTTTTATGTGTGGTATTTTCCTTCGCCACTCTTAACCGGTCCTTTTTACCATTCATCAAGAGCATAGCCTAGAATTCTTGTTGCCTCATTCTAGCTTATAACTAATCTGGTATTCTTTATGTTTATGTATGGAATTCTAGAACTTTGAAAATACTATGGTTTCTGATAAACTTTAATTGGAGTGACTAGTTCATATTTATCTGCTTGGTTTTGTACTCTTCCTTGCATTGTCTTTTCTTAAAGTTTTCAAATGTGCGGAAGGAGGAGATTTAGTTCCTTTGCTTTAATTTGATGTTGCTGCAATTTCAACCATTTCTTGTCACGAGGGTTTATTGGTTTTGTGCTTGTGTGCATCTCATATCGATTTGTTTGCCCCCAGTATGGAGAAGTACTGATGTTTTGACATTCCAAAAGGTTTCCATTTAGTTATTGTTTTCTCTTTCTATGGATCACAGGCTCTAACATGGCAGATAACAAATCTCTCGTGTTTGATATGAGCAACGTTATGTAGTACAACTTGGTTTGTTTTGTTTCAATTAGATTAATACAGAGGTCAGGAACAATTTTGCTGCCTTGCCATAACGTACTAGATTGTATATTTGGGCACGGTATCATACAATAGAACTCTCATTTCTAGGGGATGAAGAATCAAACATTAGGTGCTTCAAAACGCATTTATCTGAATAAAGCTAGTTGAATGGCCCAGGCAACTAAAAGACTAGCAGCAAGCATGCTAACAGGAAACTACAACAGCGGTGCTTGGACCAACATGAATTCTCGCTTTTGGAGGAGTCTGTGCTGCTAGGCATCATTGTTACCTCACTCCAGCTTACCACTAATCTGGTATCTTCATTACCTTTCTTTTTTTTTTTATCTGTCTTGCCACAAATCTCACATATCCTGCATAGAAGAGAATGAATTTGTTCAGAATTCTGAAGAAAAATTTGATGTGAATCAATTTTTGAGTGGGTACTGTGTAGCCGTAGGTAATATATGAATTTAAAAAGTCATCCAAGTTGCAAAAATGTCGATATTTTTCGATTTGTAAACTTGGGGAAGAGCAAAAGAAACTGCTGGAATACCATCTTGACTCAGGAATTGGAAATGGATATCTACTAGCTAAGGCCCAAGTGTCTTCAAAACAAAGCTAAATGTAAAATTTGATACCTATCCCCCATTACTGTTTGCAGGAATGAAGTACCCACTTGGGATTTAGTCAAAAGCAATCCCAAACTGGACCTAAGTTGAATGTTATTTAGGGATTAGATGTTTACCTCTTTTCTTTTGTGATTCAGAGTTCAGTAGCTTATTTTACTTTGTTCTCTCTCCTACAAAGGTCTTATTAGATTCTCTCTCCTACAAATGTCTGCATGTTATAGTGTCTTGATCCTAGAGAGCTGGCAACTAAAGGAGTAAGTTTGCCAATGACCAGTAAGTTCGACATTGACGTTCGATATTTTGATGTCCAAGATGCAGAGAGAAATGGAAACAATAACTCATAGAGCAAAGAACAAAGAATTTACCTATTCCCTTTACTCTTAAACCAAAGTCTCAGCACAGTGACGATGCGAAGTACCTCGTCCATCTTTGCAGCCACAACCAAGCTGGATTAACTCGGAAGTTGTAGATAGATTTTCAGAGCTTACATGACATATTCTGTAGATATTTTCTGAACTAGAATTGTCACCCTTCATCACTCTGTACAATTGCGTGCTTTTAAAACATCAAACCGTGCAAGCATGGTTCTCCACTTATAAATTGTTCCTCTCCATTGTTCTACTTTCAGAATAGTGCTTAAATTTCCTTAGACCTCTATAAAGGAATCATACATAAAATCCACTTTGTTTTGTTGTTTACTTGAAGACATAAGCTCTACTGTTTTTGACAAAGTCGACTCGTTAGTTGTTGGTGCATTCTCCTACTGAGCATTAACAAGCTTTCCAATCTCAATTTCTCCATAAAATATTACAAATAAAGTTTCAAATGGCTTAGATTGCGCACTCAAGTGATCTGAAAAGGCGTAGTTTTTCTTTATTATAACATGAGAAGAAACCTCAACGATTTGCCAAAAGTTTTTAGCATAATATATAACAAGATGTTCAGTTGAACTGGTTTTCGGTTCGTTAAAGAGGCATCGAAGCTGACACCCTCATTTACAAACCGCAATTTGGCCTCCCGAAAAATGGAAAATTGGCAGGATCTAAACCATCTTTAATGCAATGCTAAATTAATATGTTTGTCAAACTTTAACATTTGAGTTGGAAATTCACAAACTATTTAGCGTATGCTGCTTTTGTGACAAATTTAGCATATTCAAATTGTATTTAATTGCTATTGATTATTATATTATTTTTTAGTTTGGGTCATATTATAATATTGACATTTTCAAATTATTTCAAAATTTAAAGTTTATTTTTACAAACTTCTAAAATTTTATGATTATTACTAAAAGTGGATACTAAATATAACATTTGTAATAACATTATGTTGTAAGACACAAACCAAAATAATGTAGCAAATAGACACTTTTCACACTTTTTAATGCCAACTGTTTTTCTGTCTCAATGTGGTTCAATTCACATGAATCCTTAAGTGGCTACTACGCAAGACTCACTTTTAAAAAATTCTTTTTAGTGACAACAACTATGCAAGGCTCACTTATAAAAATTTCTTTTTAGTGACAACAAGTCATTGAAAAAATGAAAATTTCAGCGATAATGTGTGTTACTAAAAACCTTATCTTGATAATTAACAGTTCCACCTGCAAGCATCACAAAATAACAATTTTGGGTTACAACTCCTTCAGAAACGACATGTCGTTGGCTCGTTGTTAATTGTCCACTTTTTATACACATGCAAACAGAGGGAAATGAGTTTGGACTATCTGCTAGCAAATAGTTGGCAATGATGCCAGATTCAGGGTGTGTTCATTTCACAACTCAAGTTATAACTTGAGTTATGATTTTAATTGTGTATCTGAGATAAAAATACTATAATAAAAAAGTTGAATTTAGATCTTTGTGAGAGAAAACACTATAACAACAAAATTAGAGTTATGACTTGAGTTGTAAAATGAACAAGTCCTCAATAAATTCCATCCCCTGATAACTGATTGTCCCAAATAAGGTATTGCAACATAATTCGAAGCTTTGGAGGGTAAGCAATAGCTTGCCAGGAAAGCTTATATCTATAACTAGATTGTTGATGCTTTGGCTTAACGCCTACATCAACTATGGAAGACGAATGACAATTCTACTCGATAAAACTTCTTAAATCTAGTTGTAAGGTAGGTATAACTTTACACATTCCGAATTGCTAGAGATAGAAAACATATCTGTATAATCTAGTAAACAAACAATGGCATACTCACAAATATCATTATTGTTATGCGGACGATTACGTCATTAGGCTTTCTACGACAATGCTTTCCGTTTGCATAATGGTTTCTTAAAAAGAAAAAGAAAAGCTAAATGATCATACTAGTATAGATTGGCGTTTTCTGTTTGCATAATCCTTTCTTAAAAAGAAAAGCGAAACGATCAGATAAATGCACGTAGCTTGACCGCTTAATCACAAGGGATAAACGTATTGGTCTATACGTCGGTGTCCACCTGAGGCTTAAGGTGGCATCGACGTGTAGGTTGTTGTGCGTAAGGTGGCACCACATCCGCATCGAGCGTAATGTGGCAGTGAGCTTACCTTGAGCATAGGCCAGGCTCAACCCTCTCATGCTTTAATTTCTTTGTTATGTAACAAAGGGACACGTGACAAGCTACTATTGATTGAGAGGAATTTTGATTATTGACCCAACAATATTTAACTGTTGTCTAGAGCACTAATCGTCTTTTGATTGGGTTTTAAATAATAAAATTTCTTTAATTGGAAGACTTAACAATTTTGGATTGCCACTCGTATATATACTATAAAATTGACCAATGAAATGGACTTTTATTTTTTATTTTTTAGATTGAAATGAAATGGACTTTTATTGGCCAACTCTAGAGCAATGCATGTACAACATTTGTACTTGTCTTAGAAAAAGCTTGGCTCCACGTAAAGATTTTTTTTTATCTAGTTTTGGAAGGTAACTTCATCCTCTTACATCAGCTGACTAGGATTACACCCTAGTTTTTCGCAAAAACTTGCCTCATTACCTTCTTGGGAACTGACTCTGAACAAGTTCGAAGAAACGAGAAAAGATCACAAGAGTCCGTTTAGTTTATAAATTAAAATTATGTAATTAAAATTATTTTTAATTTATTTATATTTTTTATGATAAAAAATATTATAACAAACCACGAATAATGATTCGAATCAAGAAAAAAATCCTTTTACCAAACGGATTTAAACGCGTCACACCTCCCGAGAGAGCAACAACCCCCCAAAAGCAGACAAAACAAATAAAACTCATAACTGAACAACCTCAGGGGCATAATAGTCATTTTACCACAATTTCGCCAACAATAAAGCGTCAGCCCCTTCTCAGCAAAATGCCTGAATAATAATGAGCAAAAAAAAAAAAACCGTGAATAATTAAAAAAAACGTAAGTATTTAGACGAAATGATCAGTTTTTTAAACTCCATATTTATGATATATCTTTAATTGAACAATGTTATCAATATGTACATTTTTTTTTTGTTATTGATATAATAATGATTCTAAATACACTATTTTATTCTATATAGGTATAAATTTGTATAACTGATTTTATTTTTTTTTCATCCATTGTAAAATGGACATATATATAATTTTATCATTTAGACGAAATGATCAGTTTTTTAAACTCCATATTTATGATATATCTTTAATTGAACAATGTTATCAATATGTACATTTTTTTTTTTGTTATTGATATAATAATGATTCTAAATACACTCTTTTATTCTATATAGGTATAAATTTGTATAACTGATTTTATTTTTTTCCATCCATTGTAAAATGGACATATATAAAATTTTATCTAAAAAGAGTTGTTTTTAATTTTATTTAGTTTTGTCTAAAAAAGAGTGTTTTTAATTTTATAACTTAAAA